CCCCCCCCCCCCCCATGCTTTTTAGTTTGTATCTTTTAAGATTTGCAAACACATTTTGAGGAACAAATAGAATTTTTACACATTTTAGATTTGTTGTAATGCGGCAATTTTCTTTCGTTGGAGTCAAAAGGTATGATGAGTAGAGAGTTTAATTACACTACGAGATTTGTGTTTATTTACTTTCTCTTCATCTCATTCTTCTTTCATCATTTGAGCTCTGAAATCTTAACTCGTATTGGCTGGCTGCCTTCTTTGTAATGTTTCTGTTTCATACTTTATATTAATTTTGTAATACATCGTGGTATTATGTTCTATCCAATATTTATAGTTAATAATTGTTTGTATTGCCGGAAGAATTCCTAATTCAAATTAAAATGTACATGTAGATGTTTCTTTTAAAGTTTTTTTTTTAAAAAAAAAACTTATACAATATTTTGGGATTTAGGGAAAAACTTTTTATATTTTGTATATTGTTCGACACAGTTGAAACTTAGAGTTATTTAAGAAGATCACATACATACGCATATATACATATATATATATATATGTGTGTGTGTGTGTGTGTGTGGGATTTAAAGAAAAAACTGAAGATATTTTGTATGTTTTCGACACAGTTGGAACTTTAAGAGGTTTTTAAGAACAGAGTTTGATGCGAGCGAACAGTCTAAGCATTTTGTGATTTAAACAGTCTAGCATTTTGTGATTTATCGATAAATCAAAGTTGATTCTCTATTGACTACATTAAGAATGTGAGACTATTAACACGTTAAACCTCAACCATTTGAAGTTCGAATGCAACGTGATACTCTTTTTACTAGTATGTTTATGAATGTTTATACATAAATCGTTTCAAAATGTGAAATGGGCTCTTGGAATGTTGTGCACTTTACATCCTCCCTTTTATTTGAGCCAAAAAAGTCAAAACTTCCACTCATTCAGAGATAACAAATCCTCTTTTCCATCTTACACAAATAACAAGTCTGCTCATCTACAGAATGAGTGGGAACTAAATCAAGTCTATCTGTATTCTTTTGCTCTTTCACGATTCGTGAGAACGCGAAGTAAGAAAGTACACTCGATTTCGACCTCCAACGATACCATCTGAGCCTCTGCTTTGAACTCCTCAGAGTGATAAATAAATCATTCTCGAGTCTATCTTCCTTTCCTTTAGACTTAAAAATGTGGTCGATCTTCCTCAGGTGTTCGAGGTGGGTGTGGTTTCCAATCGGGCGTCTCATCCCAGTACATGTCATAATATATGTGGCCAATAGTAGTATTCTCCACACAACACCATATGCCAACGTAACGCTTGACACGGTTCTTGAACTGCTCTTCCCTTTTCTGTTCCATTAAATTTTAATCAATGTTTATGAGACTTGACATGAAATCTGTTTGGTTATCAAATGGATGAAAAGGGTATGTTTTTGTTACCTTATCAGAGAAACCAGGGAAAGCGTCTTGCATTGTGGAGAACTGGATGACTTTGACATCCTTGAAAGTGGAAAATATTGCCTTGAACTACAGGAAAAACGTCAAATATAATAGAGTAAGTTCAATGGAGACTTGCAACAAGCAAAAGGGGATTCATTCCTAGAATGGATAAACAGATGTCTGAAGCAAACCAGAACTGCATTTTTAACGGTTAAACCTTCACGAACACAGGCATCTCGTATCACAAAATATTCATGGCTACCTAATCTAAGGCTGCATTAAAAGGTAAAATCTGTAATATGTTGCTCTAGAACTACGAAAGTAGTCGTTCAATCTCAATGCTGTTCCATTGTACGCAGCCCCAGAAACTTTCGAAAGTTTAAGATGCGTATTTATCCGAGTTGTGTAATACAATCATCATATTACTAAAAGATTAAACTATAACAGTCCAAGCCCACCGCTAGCAAATATTGTCCGTTTTGGCCCGTTACGTATTGTTGTCAGCCTCATAGTTTTAAAATGTGCCTCTATTAGGAAGAGGTTTCCACATTCTTATAACGAATGTTTCGTTCCCCTCTCCAACCAACGTGGGACCTCACAATCCATCCCACAGGGGCCCAACGTCCTCGCTGGCACGCCACCCGATGTTTGGCTTTGGTACCATTTGTAATGGGTCAAAGCAGATAATATTTGTTAGCGGTGAGCTTGAGTTGTTCATAAACTCTTTTTTATTAGAGTGAAAAAGTTCATATGTCAAAAGCACTAATTACCGTGTCTTCGTTGCTGCCCTTAGGAAATTTGAGGACGCCGGGATGTACTGTATCATTTGATGGCTGACAATCTTCACTACCTTGTTTACAAAGATGAACATCAAGCCATGATTCTTTCACCTAAAGACATAAACAAGGGAAAACTTCCTCAGCAAATGCTATTAGTCAAGAAAAAGTGAAAAACTAACAGTTTCTATAACAAGTACAGTCACTGACCTGATTTGGGAGTAATGGATTGTTCAAGAAGGAATATTCTCTAAAGTTGATTCCTGGGCCAAACTCTTCCTCTGGTAAGTCTTTCAACATCACATTAACCTGCTTCACATAAAAAAGAATAAAAACATATCATATCTCGGACATTGACAGTATAAATGAACAAAAATGTCCCTTTTTGAAGTCAACCAGACAGGTTAAAGTCAATTTAATGTGTGTTGAATGTATGGTGTTCTTTCTGTAGCAGATTAGTTGAATATGAATATTATTGCCATCTAAATCTGACCATGCCTGCAATCCCCCATAGAAGCTATCTAGTTTTGGAATTAGACTAGCATGATGATGAAAATCACATTAATACAAGTTTAGAGATACCTCAAAAACATGATCCAATGGGCAAATAAAAGGTTGTCGAGTCACTGAACCCGGCAGAACTCCGGGATGTCCAAACCATAGCCTATCTAACCGGCACCATAGTTGAGGCATTATCTAGAGTTCACAACAATGAACATCAAGGAGATGTGGTTTCAATTGATTAGAGACACATACTTGCTGTGACGAAACTATTGCGAAACTTAAATAAAAACTGCCATCGGATTCAAGTGTTCTTACCAGTGTACGATTCAATAATGAAGCAATTGCAAGTGCAGTTCTTATTTGTTTCATCTGACAGAGAAAAAAAAAAAAAAAAAAAAAAAAAAAAAAAAAAAAAAAAAAAAAAAAAAAAAAAAAAAAAAAAAA